TTACGACGCCAACCTTTATGATGCACCATTCGCAACACCATCGCCACTAAACACCCAATAATTAGTTGTCGGTCATTTAAACCGTTATCTACATGCCAAAGCGGTTGCAGGTTACGAGCAAATTAATCACAACATGTTCACAAATTCATTGTTTGTTAACCCATGATTTTGGATAATAAAAAGGCACGCAGCTCGAAGGCTTCGACTCTTTAGCAGCTGCAGCCTGCAATTTTGCCTGCAACACGGCAAGTGCCTGCATTGTGGCTCTGCTCTGGAGGCATACTAAATTGGTGATGACAATGATCACTTAGAGAATTTTAACGAAATTTTTAATGGCTTGCAATGAGAAATCAATTTTATGGCTTAATATGACCGGTAAGAGTGGTTGCGGCGGGACAGTGGGCGCAGAAATGCATGCGACCAAAAGCGAGGCACAAGCAAACGGTGGACGGCAACTAACATGTGCCATATATGTATGCGTGTGTGTGTGCGTATGTAGCCTGCAACAATTTGGGTGGACTCAACGTGGCCAATATAATTAATAACAGTTATTAGGGAACGAGTGGCGCAGCGGTCGCAGAGATGGCTGCAAGAGCGTTGTCCTTATCGGCGCGTAAAAATCACGCGTTGTTGCGGTGTTTGTTGTGATTGCATGCGTTGAGGCGCTAAAATGCGTCGCAGTGTGGCAGTAATTACCGGCGGAAAGTACATATGTTTATCAACTCTTGTCTTTATGGTTGCATGCAACTGCCGGTGGCTACGTGGTACACTACGCGATTAGGCTGTATAAATTTCGGCAAAAATGCGTAACTGCGTGGAAGCGGGCTGGTTGAACGAACTGCTTGCATCAGAAGCGGCAAATTGTCAATTTATCTTCTCGGTGCGCGATACACTTGCCACATGACCGAGGTGACGCATATTTCATGAAAATTTGCAACAGATTTGTTAATATCTCGCATACATTTCTATTTCTCTTCTGCTTCATCATTGCGCAACATAAAGTGGCATGTTTATATTGGCAACACCTGTTTCGATTGCAACCGCTGCAGCAGTAACCAACGCGTAAAAATTTACACCTCATTGAATCGCTATTAAATTCGTGCCACACTCGCAAATTTACTCATCATTCATGCGTACGCAACGGTTGCGCCTCATGCATCACACCACAGCATAGATAACGCTTTAATGCCACGCATGCTCAATACGATCGGAAGAGTAGAAGCCACGAAAAAGCGTTACCAGGAAAAAGGAAGAACGATCGATTGCCCTTTCACCGTGCAACAACCTCGTAGGCAGCCGAGTCGAAGGTATTGTCAAACAATGCCACACATTGTGGCACATGGACGTTGCAGTGATAATTTATGATGCGTTTGCGGTGTGGCATATGTGTTAATGGTGACTGTCTGTCTGCAAGAGGGGCGAAGGTCCTATGCAGCACACAGCAAGCAAATACAAAGGGAAAGGCAGTTCCATACACACACATACAAACACAAATCGCATCACCAATGTTGGTATTGCCACATAAATGCTTGAGTTTGCGACAAGCAAACACACAGATCCTTTGTCAGTTAATTGTTTTTCGCTCTTTTTGTGGTTGTTTTGATTGCTTTGCTATTGCGTTAATCTATTCTTGTCATTGTTGTTGTAGTTTTGGTGTGATGACAATTTGATTATGTTGCCACTGCATATATTTTACTTTTCTGTTGTTATTATTGTTGTTTGATTGCCTTTGCCACAGTATGATATGTATGCCACTTGAATATGGTTAAAGCAAAAACAACAAAAACAACCAGAATATACCAACCGCAAGCGCAGCACATTAGGAAACGCAAATGTTTGCCAATAAAGTTGGACAGAATAAGTTATGCCGCTTCGTCAACAACAACAACAATGCATAACATATATTTCATGGAAAGGGAAGAATTAGAGAAAAAACCAATGAACTCACAAATGTGTTAATAAAGTTGCAACATGCTTACATATTGTCCGTATATTGATATGTGTGTTTGTTGTTTGTTTTTGTTGTGTAATATATTTAGTCAATACATTTCGGATGACATTTTGAAGCTCATAAAACAATGAATGAGTGTAACATTTGGAGATTTGTCACAGGGGTCTCGCGAATGACCAGAACACCCAGATTGCATGGGTGCACATTCAGTTTAGCCAGCCACTTCATAACTGTACAGTAATTATATTTGGCATGCAGTCTTTTATACCTTGTTAACCGTTGAAAGGTTGTCCAAAGGTCTCAAAATATCTTCGTACTAAAAAATTATTTATTTTGTAAAATACGTGGATTAGAAAGAACTAACTTTGAATTGGAGAATACTGAATAATTCATATAACAACTGATCAAATTTTACCCGGAATGCAACAAAAAAAACAATATTTTGTCGTACTTTAATTAGAACGTTGATTGTCGCTTTCAAAACTAGCTTAGCTTATTAATTTATACAATTTTTCTTACACTTGTTATAAGCCTCGACTGGAATGGCTCTCAGTGCTTTCAGAGAATTATGGTTTTTTCGGTTTCGTCTAATTTTTTGCATTCACTAGATTGTTAGACAGTTTCAAGGTCATATTCACAAAACTACGTCTCGTCACCAGTAGTGATGTATTTGATGATTGTAGGGTTGCTACGTTGTCAAGCATCTTCTTTGCGATCTCTACTCGACGTAGTTTTTGCAAATGATTCAGGTCTCTTGTTATAAGTCTAGCATTGACACACTCCATACCCAAAATATTAACCAAAATGTGTTGAGCCGATCTATAAAAAATGTTGAGAACCTCCGCTATTTGTCTGAGACTAACACAACAATTTTCAAGCAGTTCTTCTTTAAATTTTACGTGAATAGCTCCTGGCGACCGAGGTTATAATCCTTGGCTATCGATAGTACACACTGCCCACTTTTATCGTATCCCCAACAATACTGTTTAAAGCTTCACGTTCCTAAATACATAGAAAGTTAACGTAAAGAGTTAATAGCTCTAAACTTCAAAGCTCAGATGTTAACAAACTTTCGGAAGGTTTATTGGAGCTTTTCTAGGCACATATATAGTAAGTGCTTAAAAGTGGTAAGCTAATGTGTATGGACTATAAAAATGTTATAGTATATAACTATACTTACACCTTCGTTAAATTTCATAATATAATATATAATATTGTGAGGTTTCACGCGAGATGTAGCTTTTAGGCTTATGACAGAGGAACGTTACGATTTCTGTTTTCGATTTTTTTATTAATTAAAAAGTATTATATTTGTAATTTTAAAGATGCAGATGACGCTGTCGTGCTTGGAGTCGCGCAATATCACTATGCAAGGCTTGCGTTTCGGAGCAATATCGAAAAAGTATTTTAATACTGGCGATACGTTTATTTCTAGGCCACCTAATCAAAGAGGAGCCGAAGTTCTCCAAGCAGGAAATACCAATTGTATATGAAGGCGGTAAGCATACGATCTATTTAAGGAGTGTAACGTACTTGAATTATATAATTGTGTACTGGTCTTTTCAGTAAAAATTATTGCTTCTGAGCATTGAGATTTTAACATAGTGTGGTAACTTTTATATCATTATGAAAACATTAAGATATGAGAGAAATTTTTTTTATTTCAACCGTTCAAATGTTTGAATTATTTAAAAAAAAATAAAAAAGCTGTAAAGTTTGCACTATAGCGATGATTTCGACACAAATGTTTACCCAGGGTTTGTAAATGCACCGAAGCTATTGTATAATACCCTACACAGGTGCATTTCTGAGCGCATAAAAAGTATAAAAAATATCTTTATCTTGATTTTGATCGGTCAGTATGAATGGCAGCATCTGCTTTAGTAATCCGATCTGTACAATTTCCTCGGATATTGTAGCGTTGCCTAAGGTAATAATCTATTCCAAATTTTGTGACGATATTTTGTCAAATAAAAAAAATTTGTATACAGGGACTTTATCGGTCAATTTGTATGGCAGCTACATCCTATAGTGGGCCGCTTTAGCGGTTCCGATAAATGATCAGCTTCTTCGAGAGAAAAGGACGTGTGCAAAATTTAAGATCGATAGCTCAAAAACCGAAAAACTAGTTTGACGGACATGACTAAATCAACTCAACTTATCACGCTGATCATATATATAAATATTATATAGAGTTTCCCACGTTTCCTTGTGCGTGTTGCATACTTCGTGGCAAACCTAGTGCATTCACCCTGTTCTAGGTATATAAACTTAATGCGGACAATTTTTTTATCAGGATTTTATATATCGCGTAGTTGTGGTCAAAAATGTAGCAGCAAGTAGTAGTACTAAAATATTATATAATAAAATTATTGTCTACGCGAGCGTAAAATTTTTAAATTTTGTTGCCAAATTGCAATATTAATTAAATAACTAAAATAATATACTAATAAATTCTCACTAGCAAGAAATTTCAACCCATATGCCTAGCAACACAATCTAAAGGACGAAGCAACATATTTTTCATAAAACTTATCAACAATATCCTCATTGCAACATATTTATTCTCCACAATCGATAATTGTGGTGGGTTTGTTAGCACAGACACAAACTATTTGGGTACACATTCCACTTGTGGAATGTATTCATTCGTTTTGCTTCGTACTGTGCAACATATTCATTAACATTATCTGACTGTACGGATTAAAAGTTTTGGAAGCTATCAGTTTAAAAGGTTTTCCACAGATGTCGCAATGCGATAAGGGAGCATTAATTATATTTGAATTCAAATTATATGTCTTTGGTTGTGCAAACGAATATAAAATATCTAACAATCCGATTTTTTTGTATATAGACAGCGGTATGTATATAGAAAAAATATGTGTTGTCTTAAGAAACATTTATTTTAGATTATAAAAATATTCTCGTTGGTGGAAAGTCGAACATCGCTTACTATTTTCATTACAATTTCGGAGGTATCCAGGCTTAGAGTTATTGCTTTTGATGAGTAATACCAACTGCGCCTATTATGATAAATAGGTGATCAATATGACGGTAGACTTTTAAATTGTTGTTTTATTAACTTCTCAGTAAACTAGCGTTTTTTGTCATACAAAGTCTAGTTGCAAGCTCGAGCAAGCATCACAGTTGAATAATTCATTTAATATTAACATTAAGTACACTTATTCTCTAGACCAGAAAAATCATAAATTTGTACCTACAATACATTACATATATCTAAAATATTTTATGCTCAATTATCAGCTTCATTTGCTTCACAGTCTTCGTGCAGTTTACTCAGACGCATGATGACCTCATCCAGCTCATACTGGGAGCTATAGGCCCCCGCAGCAACCTCCATTGCGATTTGCGACTGGCGACGTGCCACTTGCGCATTCGTTACACGTCGTCCGGTGCGGAAATAGTTCTCAATTTCCAATAGTGTACGGCCCTTCGTCTCAGGCACCACGAAAATGATGAACACAAGTCCGAGCAGTGAGATGAGACCAAAGCCGGCAAAGCTGTTAGGTGTACCGATCAGCACTTCCACGCTGGGATACAATTTCACAACGGCAAACGAGAATGTTAGTCCAACAAACAACGTGAAACCGTTAGCGCTGCCTCGCACACGCTGTGGAAACACTTCGGAGATCATCAAGAATGGCAGCGTCAGCAGTCCCAGTGTGGAGAATATGATATGCAGCACAATACAAATAATTGGCAGCAGTGACAAGTATTCGCCGATGACAGGCCACCATCCGTTTGCCGCTAGCAGTAACATGCAGACTGTCATGCCAGTCGCCGAGAGAACCCCTGCCGGCCGACGACCCCAATGTTCGAAAATCGTGCCCATGAAGAAGGTAGTGATGATGCGTGCTATACCGACGAAGATGGCCACGAGCATAGGATCTGCGGCGACACCGGCGCTGGTTGCGATTTGTGCTGCGAATACAATTACAATGACAATGCCCGAGAATTGTTGGAAGAAGAAGAAACCTATCATCATGGTGAGTGGTTTATATACTTCAGGCGAACGTATGGCCTGCAAAAGTGATTCGCTCTCGGCAGCTTCTCGGCTCTGGTCGGAATTCTTTTTAATCATTGCCAATTCCTTCTCGAACTCGTCATAGGTGGTTTTGTCTAAGTAACGCGAGGAAATTGGTTATTCACAGAAACGTGTTACTTGAGTTTACACTTCACAACTTACCATTCTCGGAGAGACCACGGAAATACTTTAACGATTTGCGCGCCTTCTCCGTAAGTCCCTTCTGCATCAGCCAACTAGGCGATTCCGGCATTGGTAAAACACAACAAAAAGCAATGCATTGATAAATCGCTGAGATGAGGCAAATCAATTGAAAATGGTTCTGTAATAGAGTTTGTAAGCCATTTATAAACACCTAGAAGCACTCTTCAAGTTGGGTAATCGAAGCACTTACGCGTATAAGAAAACCCAGTACATACATCAGCAATATGCCCGTAGCTATGGCAATGGACGAGCCCAAAATCAGACGGCCACGCATGCGCGGCAAACTGATTTCCGCCGAGTAAGAGCCAATGGGCGACAGCGCTGCGCCCATCATAAGACCTTGTTTATAGGAAGCAAAATTGAGTAAGTAAATAAGTATTTAAGCAACTTTTGTCTACCTGACACAAAACGACCAATCAACATTTGGACGAAGAGGGCATCTCTGGATGTTTGGTAGGTTGCCGTTGCTAACAAGGCCGAACCGATTATACCAACTACATTGGTAAGCAGCATTGTGTTCTTGCGCCCAAACCGATCCATCAGATAACCAACAATCAAACCGCCAAGCGGACAGGCCATACTATTGATGGATGCTGCAAGAAGAAGTGGAAACCTTAAACGCTAGCACTTTTTTCTTCTCTCAAAATATTATATGAACTACAAAGCTCTTAAGATTTTAGAGAGCTACGTTCTATAAATTTTATTTTAACTAATGTTGTAACGAGCTGCTGTTTGAAAAAAGGGGGAAGTATTATAAAAGCAATGCAATGCTCTCTCTTAAAATATCTGTATTATCTTGTTAGCCTGACTGTCAAATACCGCTTAAGAGAGGTCCTTCTTTTAAAAAGCTGACAGTAAGGGCAGACTAAAATTAGAAGTAACTACGAGTATATTTATTACTAATTCATTTGAAGTTGATATATTCTTACCAAACCAACTACTTTCCTCGGTGGTCAGTTGATAAATGTCATCTTTACTTGTTAGTTGACTCAATGAAACGGAGGGCAATGCGACCGACATGCCCGACGCCACCACACAGGTATTACCAAGCAACACCATCAGTTGCTGCAATTGAAATAGAAAGTAATGTTCAAAAGTTCAATGTGCAATTTGACGATGGATAATTACCTGCCGTCGCACCGCTTTCTTGCGTTCGCCCAGTGGTTTTATCGGCTTCTTTTTCAGCGCTTTTGTAATGAGTGGTGAGAGCACAAGAGTACTGCCATCTATCTTCGATAATTCGGGATTCATTTTCTAAGTTGTGTTCTGCTTACAATACTACTAATACTAACAATATTTTGGCTTCAATAAATTATAAGTAATTATTAAAGTCTTTCCACACTTGGCTTGAGCGTGCGCTGCAACAAAAAAAAGTTAAAAAATAGATGGTACTAGATGTTTATTGTTAATTGAATCAATTTAACATGCAAAAGTAGAAATTTGAATTGTATAACAAAATTTAAATAAAAATAAATGAAATATATTTTAAGACATGTTTGATTAACACAAGCACAATCATTTGTCTTGACTTGTTTCAATTAATATTCATGAAACGTAGTTAGACTTTGCTATTTAAAACATAATCGACTCAATAAGCAATTATGTGGAACGTTGTACTTTAGACAATTGTGATTTATAAAATTTTATTAGGCATATAGAAATAGACCCAAATAGAAATATACGCTACTATACGCGTCGGATGTGTATGATAATAATAATTGTCAATAATTGTAATTTTAGCTTGATGAAAGAGTATTTGAAAACTCATTTGTTCACTCAATTATCCACTAAAGTTGAAGTGGAATAAGAACTACTTCTTTGATACTATAAAGTCTTCGAATTCAATATCGGCTTTCGCCTAAATAACTGTATTGATCACTTCGAAGACATATCGAGACCCTACGTACAGCGTTTAAATATGACTCTGACATGTTTCTGTATAACTAATAAATTCTTTGAATCCAAAATTCACAAATATAGAAATATTTCAAATATGAAGCAGCTTTATAATAAAAAATTAAAAAATAATTACAAAAATCATACATAAGTACATCATATCAAATTCATAAACAATTTCTTATCAGTTCACTTAGTTCGTGTTTATTTTCACACGTTTTAGAGAGCTCTAATTGACTTCAGTGTCAGGCTATGTGAGTTCAATATAATTTTTCATTTCAATACATAATCTCTGTCTGCGCAATTTCGATTGTTCTTTTGCGTGACGTATAGTTTTAAAATCAACGATTTTGGTGTGATTTTTGTTACATAAAATATCAAAGCGACCACTTTTCAAAACAGTTTCTTTTAAGTAGCTTTGGAAATGTATTGAGTGCACTTGTGACCAAGGAGACTTCTGATAAAAAAACAAAAAAACAAATTGCCTTTTAGGTGCCATTCAGCACAGTAGCAAACAATTGCAAAAAACGCATAGTTTTTATCTGTCAATTCAAGATTGTCGATTATAACTAAAGAATTACAGATAAATTTCGCACGGCCAATTTCCCTTCAATATTATGATTAAAGAATGACGCAAATAAATTTTTAATTTGCATTCCATATTTTAAGTGGTAGATAATGGCAAAATTAAAATTTAAATGACATAAAGTTGTTATCGAAGCAACCGGCATTGCCAGAAATCGAAGAGTTAAAAATAAACAATTATGAAGGTAGAATTGAAAAATTAAATAAAATTCACTGATACATTTTGTGACATACACAAGTGCTTGAGGTGACGAAAATACCGATTCCGATAATACTGCAGATTGACTTCAAGAACCCAATCAGTGTCAAGCGCAAGGAAAGAGTTTTTGCTGGTGTTCTGAAAAATTTGCGAACAATATATACCTATATACCTATATATGTATATATGGTACATGTAAAATATTTTCAAATTGTAATTGTTTAAATCGTAAACAACCCTGTTGGCAGTATTTGTTTATATCAATGAAAACAATTGCACTTCAAGCATAAGGTTGACACTTGAAATACAATTAAAGCCTTTTGCATCTGATAACAATTCAATCTGAAGTGTCGCTCTTCAGAGGCATACAATATATGTTATTGTAAACTATCTATAAATTGTAATGCTTAGTAATTATAAATATATATAAATATGTATATACGCTACTAAAATGTAGTTCCTGTAGAGGAAAAGTACCCAAGTAAATACGGACACTATTGCGAAAAGCACTTGGGAAATTATTTACATTTATTTATGAAACAAATTTTTAAATAATTTATTAAAAACTTAAATAGCAGATAAAGAAGCAGAAAAAATATGTTATTTGTTACTGAAAATGTTTTTAAAATGTAATGTTTTCAGAACTTCTGAAAATTTCATATCGTATTTTTTCGCGGAATTCGGTTACGGAAAATGCTTTTAAAAAAATATGTCTTGCGATATATAGTAGACCTTTAGAAACAAAATTCAAAGCAACACAGTAATATGAAACTGTGTTACTTGAACTTTAACTGTTTTTCGTTTTTCAACCCAGCAAACACATGAGTTTGTCATCGCTGTCTTGAGCTATAAATCAAATAACAATAAATTATTAAAAAATCACAGCATCATATCGAAAAACTAATAAATTTTTATGAAATAATTAGGCATTGGATTGCCTATAGGGTGTTTTATACTTGTATATATATATTTTTTGGACAGCAATGGTAAAATTCATAGCTCGATCTGCAGAGTATGGTATATTTGAGTATACATTATTGGGCATTTTAATTAAATGCGATAAACACATCAAGGCCGTACAGATAAATATGGCCACAGACATACATACAGATATACCATAAATTTTGCAAATGTCGAAATAAGTGTACGCACTTTTATTGCCAGTGTATTAATTTTTGTGGTTTGGTGTTATCGTGTCAAATCCTTCGAAGTTAAGTAAGCGAAGTCCACGCTATGATCATTTGGTGTCTTGTTCTCGTTTCACTTATAGGCACATATTATATAGGTATATATTGATTTTAGAAAACAGCCTTTTTGTACTTTGTATCGTTCGTTGGTATTGTATAACAAGCCAAACTTATCAGCTTGCATAGGTTGGGAAATTTATTCGTATAATTTTAAAAATTAATTTAAATATATATTTATATTTTATACACACTTTTTAAATATTTTTTTTTCACAACACTGTTACTGAATAATTTTACACAAATTCCGGCAGTTTTCAGCAAAGATAGATATTTATAATGAATAACTATTGATCAAGTGTAAAAGTTTCTGCACAATTCTTCACGCCTGCGATGGAAAGTGTTTTGTCGGCGCGTCCGAACTCGCTGATACCAGCTGTGGTTCTGAGTGAGTGATTCTCATTTAGCAGCAATGAAATACTAACATAGCTTCGTCTGCGTGTTTTTCTATCAGGCGATATTTGTTACTAATCAGTGAGCTGTTGTGTGATGTAGGGTTTTTTAGTCAATATTGAAGTAGCGAGACACAATAACTGTAACAGTACTCGTGTGGCCAACAGACTTGTACTGCCAAATTTAACCGAAGCTATTTTCTATTGGTTTTTGGTTTGCGCTAAAACTTTATCGCAGCCGACACTCGTATTTACATGTTGTGTTCAACTGACCCTATGCGATGCTTTGGCTTGTCACCAACATCGCCACTACCTCAGCTGCGGTGTGACGTAACTCAATAGATAATTCCTGATTGATTGTTGGTGAGCGCTACGATTTGAAAATGCTAATGCCGATACTGCAAGCCGCATTCGCACTATCCGTTGCGTTGCGTCGACTATGATGTATAACCTTCGGAACGGACACCGATCACCTGCTCTCTTATCTCATTTGTTTGCAAGCGTCACCCGGTCAGTCTATTTTATAGATTCGTTTGAATATTTCACAAGAGCAGATTATTTGATAATTTGACGACCCATAACGATTAGTGCGAGTAAATATGTATAATATGGTAATTCGGTATCGTTACCGATATGTGCTTAATCATGTTTTTTAATTTCGGCATTATCATCGACTTGCTCTAGTGATTTTACTTCAGTTAACATATGACAACAGCTGATCGTGCAAACTAAACTCGATTTGCTTTTGCACGGCGTGCGAGTCTCTCTGGCGTTAGTGTCTCTTCCCTTTCGTGGGGGCCGGAAGTGCACTTGAGAGTAATAATACAAAATATTGTCAATAATCTATTTATCGAAATTCCACAAACGCTATACTTATTTAGATTGAGTTTATAGATAACTGTTTTGTAGTTTGCAAATTCGCATCAATATAATCGCCTATTTTCATATTCGTTATCACAAAATATCCAATCTTGTAAGCAAGTTTTTTTTCTGCTGTTTTATTGGTTCCACATGTTTTCTCCTTATACACACATAATTAATATGATATTAATCAATTTTTGATAAAATCAAATAATGTCATATCTACAAGCTTTCGATTTATTATTTTGGTTTTTTTTTTAATTAAATAATTCGATTTCTACAACTGTTGAGAGCCGAAGGCACCCTATGCACCTACAAATGTGTTTTTAATATATTTGTGAATTTATTTATTAACTTTCATTGTTCTACTGGTAAAAGTATGCTTTAAAAGTTTTATCGAATTATAATACTGCTTATGTCATATTTATTAGTAGAGTCGATAGAATGTCTTTCCATCGCTTTTTTAACCTCGTATCATATTGTAGATATATGCTTGTATATGTTTGTGTCACTATCAGTCAAGTTAGTTTATAATGTAAATTTTACATGTTATCTATTGTACAAGTTTCAGCAACCAATCAATCACGCATACGACGTGAGGCTTTCAGTTAGTTTACGATAATGGTTCAGTACTACGACTTATTCCATAATTCACATTTAATTCTGTACAATAATTTAATATTCCTATCGCTACATACTTATAATCTTATTGAATCAATGTGCGATTTCTTTCTTATATAGTATTATTATATGATTAGCCATATGTGTGACAAGAAATCAGTCATTTGTATAATGGAATATAGCCCGCGGGCGCTCTATGAGCAAGCTTTGAGTATATGTACGTGTGTTTCACACAGTTGCGATTTTTGTACCATAGAAATTAAGACAGTGCAAGTTGCTTTCTGTTTATGTAGCCAATTATTTTGAAAAAGCTGACATCAAAAAATGCGGAATGCCAGAAAAGTATCTGACAAAAGCAGTTCGAAACAAGTGTTATAAAATATGTGGGTTTTGACAGCTCTCTCTCTCTCTCTCTCTCGAATCAAAGAGTTTCGTTCGTCGTCCTTGACGCAGCGAGCAAGACGTGCTCGGAATGTGTGGTATACGCATATAGGTATGTATGAAGTAAAAGTCAAGGATTTTGTATGTCCTTTAATATTGAGTAGGAATTCGATTTTTGCTTTGTAGAACATTTAAATATTGTATATATGTAATTTGTTTGATATATCAGTTGTTAATATCTCATAAACTTAATCTGCTGGGCTGTCAGCCAAGATCTTTTCAATAGGAAGCTTCTTGTCTTTATAATACAACACAACGATATTTCAGATACAATTGATGTCTCTTTATGTCATTGTTGTTCATTAACGATATCTCTTCTGCAATAGAATTCTCAAACATTTTATTATACATGGTGTGACAGAAATGATTTGCCATTGAATCTTAATAAATGTTGGTATGTGCACCCCTCTTCTTACGTAATAAAACACCATATTCTGGAGCAAGTTCTTAACTATGTTGATTTGGGAGTTAATATGGACTTTAAGCTTGATTTTAATCATCATATTGGTACCATGGTCTTGAAAGCAAAAGCTGTCCTCAGTTTTGTTAAACGTTGGTCTAAAGAATTTAGAGATCCGTACATTACTAAAACACTTTTTACAACTTTGGTGAGACCTATGTTGAAATATGGAACCCTAGCTACCAAATCCATTCTGACAAGTTAGAGTCTGTGCATCTTGAATGTAATAGTTTGCAGTTCTTTTCTCTTACCCGAAATTAAATCTAATATCTCCGTTCGCTTTTCGAGGCAGTTTATACTTTTGCGGTTAATTCCGTCATATTACATAGTCATGATTTTAATTCTAATTGCAGCACATTTGACTTATCTGACTTATTTTTCAAAATTAAAAAGGTTAGGCGGGAGGAGGGTAATTGTTGGGTTATTATTAATTGTTCATAAATAAAAACACAATCATTTGAATTTTTCATAAATTTTTTTTTTTTACAATACTAGTAAAATTATAAATAATTGTGTTGCTAGTTTGAACAGAAGCTTTAGAAAATATTTTGCACACTATTTTCATACAAAAACGATTTAAAGGAAACCAGTGATGGTACTAATTACACTTCAATTAAAAAACGCAGGAGGCAAGTAAAACATACTACTGGGACAGTTGAGTCGCTCTCCACACGCATACATTCTCAAAAAATAAAACGTTTGAAGTTTGAAACAAGTGTGTGAATGAGCGTGAATGCGTACATACACATATATGGTATACATATGTGAATAGCATTAAAGGAAATACTGATCAGTGGCTCAAAAGTTTATTGCTATTTAAAGTTTACACGTAAATTGGTTTTATAATTAGTTTGATAATAGATATTGATTGAAATCAATAGTAACCATGCAGACCTATCATAGGTCATTTCAAAAATCACGCAGTTTATTTGAACTGAGAATCTAGAAATATTCGAGTCTCAATCACTGTGGCAGTATAGTATTTCAATATTTGACGCAAAATTGTTGCAGTATAAGTATCAGCTAAGTAAGTATCTGCAGAAAAACAACAGTGTCGCAATATCAGTGCAGTTATTTGCTTACAAACACCCTCTGTCTGTTGATCCTAAAGATTGCTAAAATTAGCCAAACACATCGTTTAGAGGAGGAGTAAGCGAGTATTTATACTTAACATAATGCTGTTTGCTTTTGATTGCTATTGTGGCTTACAACTCCACTCAGTTGAATTGGAGTTAAGTAAGTAAAGCAAGGCAACTTCGGTTCAACCAAACTCTTTTGTGGTATTGCGAACTTCAACTAATTTCAGTTAAAGTTTCATTGTTTTTGCCAACCTAGAAACTAAAGTTTGGACAGATAATTAAACAGCTGCAACTTTTTAAATGAAAAATAAAAACAATTCAATTCAGTTATTACTCACGGAAGGGTCAATAATTATTAAAATAGATATGAGTTTCGATTCTTTATTCGAAAGACAGTTTCTTAATTATATTTTTAATGTTTCCAAATTGTACCCTGCCTCGGCCAGTTTCGCGATTTTACTCCACAAGCTCCACAAATTTTCACCTTTCTACATATTTTTACAATATAACTGATTAAAATAGTTTACAATTATATATAAATTGGTTAATTCACCTGGCTTACATTTTCTAGTAATATTTTTTCTAACGGGGTATCTCGATAAACAATATAGGTATGATTACTAAAAATCTGTATTGCTAGCAATATTGCCAATGAAGACTTCACATTGCTAATGTTTAGCAATAGATGTCTAAATATATATTATATATAGAAAAAATATCTTTTGTCTTTAGAAACATATTTGGAAGATTATAAAAATATTCTAGTTGGTGGAAAGTCGTTGATCGCTTCCAATTTTCATTACAATTTCGGAGGTATGCAGGCTTAGAGTTATTGCTTTTGATGAGTGATACGAACTGAACCTATTATGATATATAGAAACAAACGGAATACTTTTAAATTGTTGTTTTATTAACTTCTCAGGAAACTTGTGTTTTTTGTCATACAAAGTCTAGTTGCAAGCTCGAGCAAGCATCACAGTTGAATAATTTATTTAATATTAACTTTAAGTACACTTATTCTCTAGACCCGAAAAATCATAAATTTGTACCTACAATGCATTACATACAAATATATCTAAAATATTTTAAGCTAAGTCATCAGCTTCAGTTGCTTCACAATCTTCGTGCAGTTTACTCAGACGCATGATGACCTCATCCAGCTCATACTGGGAGCTATAGGCCCCCGCAGCAACCTCCATTGCGATCTGCGACTGGCGACGTGCCACTTGCGCATTCGTTACACGTCGTCCGGTGCGGAAATAGTTCTCAATTTCCAATAGTGTACGGCCCTTCGTCTCAGGCACCACGAAAATGATGAACACAAGTCCGAGTAGTGAGATGAGACCGAAGCCGGCAAAGCTATTAGGTGTACCTATCAGCGCTTCCACGCTGGGATACAATTTCACAACGGCGAACGAAAATGTGAGTCCAACAAACAATGTGAAACCGTTAGCGCTGCCTCGCACACGCTGTGGAAACACTTCGGAGATCATGAAGAATGGCAGCGTCTGCAGTCCCAATGTGGAGAATATGATATGTAGCACAATACAAATAATTGGCAGCAGTGGCAAGTATTCGCCGATAACGGGCCACCAGCCGTTAGCCGCCAGCAGCAACATGCAGACTGTCATACCAGTCGCCGAAAGAACACCTGCCGGCCGACGACCCCAACGCTCGAAAATCGTACCCATGAAGAAGGTAGTGATGATGCGTGCTATACCGACGAAGATGGCCACGAGCATAGGATCTGCGGCGACACCGGCGCTGGTTGCGATTTGTGCGGCGAATACAATTACAATGTCAATGCCCGAGAATTGTTGGAAGAAGAAGAAACCCATCATCATGATGAGTGGTTTATATACTTCAGGCGAACGTATGGCCTGCACGAGTGATTCGCTCTCGGTAGCTTCTCGGCTCTGGTCAGAATTCTTTTTAATTATTGCCAATTCCTTCTCGAACTCGTCGTAGGTGGTTTTGTCTTAATAACGCAAGAAAATTGGTTATTCACAGAAACGTGTTACTTGAGTTTACACTTCACAATTTACCATTCTCGGAGAGACCACGGAAATACTTTAGCGATTTGCGCGCCTTCTCCGTAAGTCCCTTCTGCATCAACCAGCTGGGAGATTCCGGCATTGGTAAAACACAGCAAAAAGCAATGCATTGATAAATCGCTGAGATGAGGCAGATCAATTGAAATTGGTTCTGTAATAGAGTTTGTAATCCATTTATAAACACCTAGAAGCACTCTTCAAGTTGGGTAATCGAAGCACTTACGCGTATAAGAAAACCCAGTACATACATCAGCAATATGCCCGTAGATATGGCAATGGACGTGCCCAAAATCAGACGGCCACGCATGCGCGGCAAACTGATTTCCGCCGAGTAAGAGCCAATGGGCGACAGCGCTGCGCCCATCATAAGACCTTGTTTATAGGAAGCAAAATTGAGTAAGTAAATAAGTATTTAAGCAACTTTTGTCCACCTGACACAAAACGACCAATCAACATTTGGAGGAAGAGGGCATCTCTGGATGTTTGGTAGGTTGCCGTTGCTAACAAGGCCGAACCGATTATACCAACTACATTGGTAAGCAGCATTGTGTTCTTGCGCCCTAACCGATCCATCAGATAACCAACAATCAAACCGCCAAGCGGACAAGCCAAACTATTGATGGATGCTGCAAGAAAAAGTGGAAATCTTAATAGCAATGCAATGCTCTCTCTTAAAATATCTGTATTATCTTGTTAGCCTGACTGTCAAATACCGCTTAAGGGAGGTCCTTCTTTTAAAAAGCTGACAGTAAGGGCAGACTAAAATTAGAAGTAACTACGAGTATATTTATTACTAATTCATTTGAAGTTGATATATTCTTACCAAACCAACTACTTTCCTCGGTGGTCAGTTGATAAATGTCATCTTTACTTGTTAGCTGACTCAATGAACCGGAAGGCAATGCGACCGACATGCCCGCCGCCACCACACAGGTATTACCAAGCAACACCATCAGTTGCTGTTATTGAAATAGAAAGTAATGTTCAAAAGTTCAATGTGCAATTTGACGATGGATAATTACCTGCCGTCGCACCGCTTTCTTGCGTTCGCCCAGTGGTTTTATCGGTTTTTTTTAATGAGTGGTGAGAGCACAAGAGTACTGCCATCTATCTTCGATAATTCGGGATTCATTTTCTAAGTTGTGTTCTGCTTACAATACTACTAATACTATCAATATTTTTACTTCAATAAATTATATGTGATTATTATAGTCTTTCCTCAGTTGGCTTGAGCGTGCGCAACAAAGAAAAGTTAAATCGATGGCAATAGATGTTTATTCTTAATTGAATCAATTTAACGTAGCAAAATTACAAAAATCATACATAAGTACATCCTATAAAATTCATATATCAACAAACAATTATGAATGTAGAATTGAAAAATAATATCAAATTCACTGATACAATTTGCGACATAAACAAGTGCTTGAGGTGAAGAAAATGCCGATACCTATAATATTGCAGATAGTGAAAACTTGACTTTAAGAACGCAATCAGAGTCAAACGTAAGGAAAGAGTTTTTGATGGTGTTCCGAAAAATTTGCGAACGATATATACCTAAATATGTTATAGGTATATGTATATGTGTTACATGTAAAATATCTTCAAATTGTAATTGTTTAAATCGTAAACAACCCTGTTGGCACTTCAGACATAAGGTTGACACTTGAAATGCAATCAAAACCGGTTGCATCTGATAACAATTCAATTTCAAGTGTCACTCTACAGTGGAATACACTATATGTTATTGTAAACTATTTATCTATAAATTGTAATGTTTAGTAATTATAAATATATATAAATATGTATATACGCTACTAAAATATAGTTCCTGTAGCGCAAAATTACCCAAGTAAATGCGGACACTATTGCGAAAAGCACTCGGGAAATTAATTACATTTAATTATGAAAACTAATTTGGAATAAAAAAGCAAAAGTTTACTCAAAGAATCAGGCTACAAAGTATGTTTTTAATGTAAAGTTTTCAGAGCTTCTGCAATTTTGATATAGTGTTTTCTCGCAGAATCCGGTTACGGAAAATGCCTTTAAAAATAAATGTATTCAGATATTCTGGACAAAATTGCATATAGCAGACCTTTCGATACAAATTCAAAGCAAAACAGTAATATGACTGTGTTACTTCAACATATAATTGTTTTTTTTTTTAACTCTGTTCTACGTACAAAGATTTAAAGACAAAATGCTTTTGTCATTGCTGTCTTAATTAAAAAATCACAACACCATATCAAAAAACTAACAAATTTTTATAAAATATTTAGGTATTGGAATTCCTATAGGGTGTTTTTTATTATTTTTTGTACAGAAATGGTGGAATTCATAGCTCGATCTGCAGAGTGTGATATATTTGAGTGTACATTATTGGGCATTTTAATTAAATGCGATAAAAACATCAAGGCCGTACAGATAAATGTAACGACAGCTGTTTATTATGTATAACATACATACAGATATACTATATATACATATATTTTACAAATGTCGAACTAAGTGTGCGCACTTTTATTGCCAGTGTAGGACTTTTTGTGGTTTGCTGTTGTCGTGTCAAATCCTTCACAGTTAAGTAAGCGAAGTTCACGCTATGATCATTTGGTGTCTTGTTCTCGTTTCACTTTTAGGCACATGGTACATATACCTATATTGATTTTAGTAAACAGCCTTTTTGTACTTTGTATCATTCGTAAATATTGTATAACAAGCCAAACTTATCAGCTATACGTTGGAAAATTTATTAGTATAATTTTTAAAATAATTTCAAATCCATATTCATATTTTATACACACTTGTTAAATGTTTTATTTCACAACACCGTTACTGAATTATTTTACACAAATTCCAGCAATTCTTAGTAAAGCTTTTCGAGGTAGATATTTAAGATAAATAACTATTGATCAAATGTAAATGTTTCTGCACAATTCTTCACGCCTACGATGTAACGTGTTTCGTCGGCGCGTCCGAACTCGCTGATACCAGCTGTGGTTCTGAGTGAGTGATTCTCATTTAGCAGCGAAGAAATACTAACATAACTTCGCCCGGTTGCTGTTCTATCAGGCAATACTTGATAATAATCGGTGAGCTGTTGTGTGATGTAGCGTTTTCTAGTCAATATGGAAGTAGCGAGGCGCAATAACTGTAACTAAACGGCACGCGCAGTACCCGTGTGGCCAACAGACTTGTACTACCAAATTTAACCGAAGCGTTTGCTATTATTTTGGTTTGCGCTTAAACTTTATCGCAGTTGCCACTCGTATTTACATGTTGTGTCCAATTGACCCAATGCGATGCTTTTGCTTGTCACCAACACCGCCACCCTCTCAGCAGCGGTGTGACGTCTCAATAGATAATTCCTGATCGATTGTTGGTTAGGGCTTCAATTTGAAAATGTGTTTGCTCAATGCTCCACAATGGCTAATGCCGATACTGCAAGCCGCATTCGCACTATCCGTTGCGGTATCTCATTGTTTGCAAGCGTCACCCGGTCAGTCTATTTTATAGATTCGTTTGAATATTTCACAACAGCAGAATAATTTGACGTCCCATAGTGATTAGTGTGAGGGAATATGTATAATATGGTAACTTGGTATCGGTACCGATATGTGCTAAATCCTGTTTTTCAATTTCGACAGTATCATCGACTTGCTCTAGTGATTTTACTTCAGTTAACATATGACAACAGCTGATCTAAGCAACCGTTTTTTGTGCAAACTAAACTCGCTTTGCTTTAGCACGGCGTGAGAGTATCTCTTGCGTAATTGTCTTTTCCCTTTCGTGGGGACGCATCATGAGCAAGTAAGCGGGGGACTCAGTTTTTTTTTAATTTTAATGTTAACAACATTTTTTTTTTAAATGAAAATTTTTACTACTTTTAGTTAAAAAATTAATAATTAGAAAACTATTCGTGATTTTTTAATGAAATTTTCAGGAGTTATAGTTCAAAACTTGTACTTTGAGAAAATAAGTATGAATTTAAATAATTTTTTTTTTCAAATTGTTAATAAATTTTTAAGTTAAGAAATGAAAACTTTAATGACTTCTCCCTCAACAAATTCAAATTTTTTTTTTAGTATTTTGCAATAAACATTAAAGTAACGAAATCCACAAAAAAATTTGACTAATCGCGATTAGATTAAGCAAACAAAAATTTTTATGACGGGCGGTCAGCGCTGCCGGTATAGCGGTTTATGTTTGTGCGGTTCGGCAACGCAGTGAATTAGCATGAATGTGGTAGAACAAAATGCGTAATACCTACCCGCTTAATAGTTTCAAGGAAATACTTAAGACGGGCCACCAAAACGTATTGAATACCCGCTATTAATATTTCAAGGCCAAATTTTTAACTGGAATTTCCTATTCTTTAAGTATTAAAAATTCATAATTTCTTTAAATTGAATATTTTTGAGTATCTTAGTCATTGACTTATCTTTAGAGTTACTTAATAATTCTAAATAAGGAATAATACTTCATGTTTTAATTAAAAATATGGTTATTTTATTATTAATTTTATTTCAACAAATGAAATATAGTAAATTAAAAATTTTTTTATAAATAATAAAACAAAGACGTTAAATAATTCTTAAATTAATTCTTATAACTTATACGAATTGCTTTATTAATTTTTTTTAACTTTATTCGTAACGATTTTAACGTATTTGTCGAAAACTTTGCACTCGAGTGATGTATTATTAAGAGCTCTGTAATGATGATATTGGCGTGTATTTTTTATGGTTACACATCGGTCATAACGTAATTTAAGCATCTTCTCATGAGAGTCATGATTTTCTTGAGAGCTTTGGTTAATTTTTTTAAATGCATTCTTACCCCATTGAAATAATGAAGTTGCATTGGTTATGTGCTTATCGCTTTCCCGTTTAAGACTTGCACGAAAAGCTTGCCTCTTAAAACTTCCTACCAAACCATCACATGCTCCGTTTCCATGAGAAGTAGCAAAAAAATTCCATTTCGCGTCCACGTTGAAATCATTTTTATGATTTATTAAATTCACAAAATTATACTTATTTTTGTACTGAGAAGCAGCTCCGTCCGAAAAATAGGAAATATTTTTTATTTTATCCGCTCCAAACTTATTTTTTAGAAATTTTATCAATTTAAAATTAAAAAGGTGAACTGAGCTCGCATCGTGACTAACTTTTTCCGAAATTACAACGTAGTTTATATGATTCATTTCTTCATTTTCTCTATAGTACACAACGTAAGGGTGAATTGAAGCCATTGATGAGATTGGATGATCAACAATTCAGGCAATTTTTGTCTTAAATCATTAAGAAAATCTTCTTTTGTCTTCGTTTCTTCAATGATTTCAGTTCAAAAAAATTCAAAATATATTAAATGAATTAAATAATAATAAAAAAATGGATAATCAAAAGAACTAACAATTTAAACATAAAAAATCTAATAATTTCATTATTAATATGTAGATTGCGTAACAAAATATAAAGAATATTAATTACTCAGTGGCGTAAATATAAAAATTAGATATAGAGTTTTTGAAATTTGGATAGTCCAATCTTTTCGTCAGGATAAGCTTCTTTAAATTTTTTGTGTATTTCGTGAACATTATATAATAATAATCGTTTTTGTTTTTGGATTTTTTCCCCATTTTCAATCACCGAAACATAATCTTTCATACCAGGCATTACGCGGCTGACATCATCGGATAGATAGAAAGCTTCAATACGATCGAGGGTTTCAATGTTTAGAGATTTTCCTCTCTTAATCATAGGTTGCGATGCGAGTCCTCGTTCTCGTCGTATTTTTTTTGCAGTTGTCACCATTCGTTTGGAAACTTTAAACTCTTTCTTTATCATTTTAATCGACCAATCTGTAGGAAGCGTAGTCAAAACCTGAATTTTATCAGCTCTACTAGTTTTATCATTGAAAGCAGATTTGAAGTTATTAAGTAAAAGCTCTTTTGGATCAATTTCACTATTTACATTGTTAATATTATCTGTAAATTTACTTACAACATTTGTTAAAACGTTTTGACATTCTTTATTACTTGAGACTCTCTTGATTTTGATTGGAGGTTCACCAATTTTCGTTAAAAATTTATTAACCTTATTAATTTTTAATTTGTTATCTACCGGTTTGCAATGAAAAGTAGGATCTTTTTCTTCGTCATCTTCGATAACATCATTTGACTTCTCAGGCTTGTTGACTTCAGGACATTTATTCACCGATAATTTACCAAGAATTTCAGGTTTTCGGCCTGAATAAATAGTCCGTTCACATGAATTGCACATATAGTTCCCAATAAAATCTTTAAAATAATGAGTGCGGTTTTTTGTTATTAAAACTAAGTTTTTAATGACTTTTTTATTATCTTTTTTTGTTAAATGGATTGCAGCATTTCTTAACGAGGCTCATGATTAATTATCAACGAAATTACGAATGGCTCGAGATATTCCTTTGTTGTTCACATACTTGTAGATACTGGGACATAAAATATTAAGATGCTTTCATATTTATTTCGTTTAATCGCAAAGGGTTTAGTTCGAATATCATTTTATTTAAAATAAGAATTGTAATGTTAATTGAATGTTTTATAATGAATACAAAAAAAATATGGGGTAAAAAAATTATGGATTTCCAGTTAAAAATTTGGCCTTGAAATATTATTAGCAGGTATTCAATACATTCTGGTAGATTAGGGACTTCCCGTCTTAAGTATTTCCTTGAAACTATTAAGCGGGTAGGTATTACGCATTTTGTTCTACCACATTCATGCTAATTCACTGCGTTGCCGAACCGCACAAACATAAACCGCTATACCGGCAGCGCTGACCGCCCGTCATAAAAATTTTTGTTTGCTTAATCTAATCGCGATTAGTCAAATTTTTTTGTGGATTTCGTTACTTTAATGTTTATTGCAAAATACTAAAAAAAAAATTTGAATTTGTTGAGGGAGAAGTCATTAAAGTTTTCATTTCTTAACTTAAAAATTTATTAACAATTTGAAAAAAAAAATTATTTAAATTCATACTTATTTTCTCAAAGTACAAGTTTTGAACTATAACTCCTGAAAATTTCATTAAAAAATCACGAAT